TTTGTATGACTCAAATGAATTCTAGTTATCCTTGGTTAAGGTAACCCATTTTTCTGATAAAAAGTACTTAAGTATAGACATCATCACTGCTGTTAGGACTCGACAACATTTTGTAAAACTTTAGCCTTAGGAGTATCTGTGACTTTTCCTTTGAATCTTACTTAGTCTCTAGATTTCTCGAACGTGTGTAGCCAAACATATCCCTGCATTCACGGTGCTATTCTCCTGGTTCACAAAGTTACTCTGGCTACTTAACTACAGCCGTTAGACCACATAACTAGCTGAACTACCTAACAGGCTTTTACGTTCGCTTCCCTTCCTGGGGTGGAGGTGCTCTTCTGGGTAGGCATGCCACCATGTTGGCGCTCACATTCAGATCTTAACTTTTAGTACTTGTGCATGTGTGTATAAGGAAGCATAAGGATGGGGGTAAGCTCTAAAGAAGAACTAAATGGGAGAACATGGGAATAAGAGCTGATGTGAAGGAAGAAAGGACGCTGCTGGAGCAGGAGAACAAATACAGGGGAGGAGGAAAAAGAAACAACAAAAAGAAGTTGCTTGAAAAATGTCACAATGAAACTTTTTTTTTTGTATGTGGATACAAAAATAAAGGAAAGGAAAGACTGGTGCATCTTCAAAGACAGCCGGGTCTACTAGGACAACTCGCTCTACACCAGAGCTCTGCTTGTAAAGGCTCCTCTGTCTCCAGCCCTTCCTTTCCCTTTAAATTCTAGCTACCTTCAAAGACAACAGTGTGCTGTTTGGAACACACTCACTCACATGGCCTCGTTACTTTATTTAAATTAGAGTAACATAGTATTGGGACTTTATCTCCAACAGTCTTATTTATAGAGTGATGTACCTTTTAACAGTGCATCATATAGCATGATCTACATAGTGTATAAGTACTGAGTATGCAGAAGTCATAAGAAGTAGGATTTGAAGGAAACTATCTTTTAAGTGTAGATTGATTTCTGAGTTTTAATTTTGATTTTTTTTAAATGAGGAAACTTGTAATCAAAGAGATCCATAGGGTGATCAGATATATAATATTTCCAGGAAGAATATATGATCCTTCCTGTGAAAAGTTACAAAGCTAGCTGGTGGCCTTATAAAAGTCACATAAAATCTTTTACATAAAAAGAAAAATTAGGGATTAAATAACACCGCCATATTGTTTGTGGTCATTGTCTACAGAGAAAATAGTACCATTTATTTTTTATTATTAGAGGAGAAAAAAGGTCTTGCTGAAGTTAAAAACTACTTTAGCAAAAATGAACTCATTTAATTTTTCTGACTCCCGGGGAAAAATTTTTTTTTTTACAGAATATAGTAATTCTATGTTATAAATGAAGGTATTGTCCAGGGGGCTGAAATTGGAAGGACATGAGACTGCTTACCAAAACTGGTGGTTAAAATCCAGATTCCTCACTGTAAACCTATATCTGTCCACTGGGCAATAGATCACATTTATCAGCGTTGTCTGTTGCAAAAATAACTGTTAGACTAAAAAAACCTCCCATTCACATCTTCCAAGTCAGTTCTCTGTTGAACTGCCCAGAGCAGCAGACATAAGGGAAGGGAAGAAAGAATCTGGACAATTTCATGTTCAAAGGATCTTGTTGCTTTAAACCGTACGATGACAGAGCATCAGAGGATAGAAACTGGAGTGGTTTCTTCCTCTTTGTGTAATCTGGAGAGTCACTAATTCTTTCTCTTGGATAAAATTTTAAGTTACTGTGGAGAGAAGAGTAATATGAAAGATGAGAACCAATGCTCAAATCCCCACTTAGGCCCCATGGGCAAGTCCAAGTAAGCATCAAAAACCTCCTCGGAGAACTATTTAGCTGCATTATGGCTCATCCATTTGGAACACCTTGTTCTAAGCAGCAGGGTAAAGAAGACTTGCTGTAAAATCCAGTTCGACTCCCAAGAAGACAACGGTGGATTAGGTGACCAGGGAGACTCCTTGGAGACCTCCACGCTTGTGCTGTTTCTGAGTCCTGTCTTTGGTCAAGGATAAGGTTGACTTTGAATAGCATGGCTCACGCTTCAGCAATGTTTTTGTTCTAGGCAGATGGGCCATATGGAAACTATGAACTGGCTTCATAGACCGGACATCGATGAGCCTGTGAAACACTGCTATGCTTTCTGCTTTTATTCAAGTGTTTCAGTGAACAATATATTACCATAGGACATGGCATATTATGTGACTTTGTTTAAATTCTGAGTTGTTATTAATTTTCTCGTTAGGGATGTTTTTAATAGAACATGGTTTCCTTTATCAGTGAGAGTTTTTCATTTAACAAGAATTGGTCTGTTTTCTATGCAAAAAGCACTCCGATTCAAATTATTTTTGATGCATCAATCCAGTTACGTTCTAAAAACAGTTGAGACCTAAAGCCAGTGGTTTTCTTTTTAAAAAGAAAGGTAATAATAAAAATCTTAAAAAACAAAAACATTCTAGCAATGGAAGGAAGGAAATGAAAACAAAGAAAATAAAAGGAAAGGTAATTTTCTAAGAACTGGATGGAAGACACGCCTGGTTCACCACATAATTGTTTTGAGAAGTGTAAAGCATTCACTTTTTAGTTTGCTAATTCAATAACTACTAGAGATATGAAAAACTTTTCACTATAAGATTTACAAAAAAGAAAAAAGAAAAGAAATCCTTTTCTTTTTTCCCTTTTTCCTCCTGGATACTACTTAAAACTTAATGAGAATCTGTGCGGTGGGTGAAGAAACCTCACAGCTGTTGGCGAGGAACCAAAATGGAGCAGAGGAACAGCACTCGTGTGGTTGCGTGTTTTGTGGAGAATGTGGGAGGGCTACAGAATAGGTGAAATTAATACGTGGAAAGCAACTACACTGGCTCCTTAGAGGTATTCAGAGACTCGCGTCTGTACTCACACAGCCTGTAAACCTCTGCAAAGGCAATGATAAGGGATGATCGTATTTCATCGTTGTAATTAAAACATAGTGGTCTCTACATGCTTTTCTACAGAGGGTAAAAATGCAAAAACAAAGATAATATGGGGGGGAGACTTGTTTCAAAAGGGGGAAATTTGAGGAAATATAATTTAAATGTTTTTCTTTCAAGGAGATCTATGAAAACACAATGATATTTTACGCCTAAGATCAGAGGAAAATCACAAGGTTTCCCAGTATGATAAATGAACTTCACATCTTACAGGTTGTAATTCTTTGCATCTGGTATTTTCCATGTGATAAAAGAAGGTCTTTAGGAGGCTATAAAATATGCTCATCCCGTCCACCATGATAAATATGGGGAGGTTACATTTGTGCTGTTTTATAGCAATTCAGCAGAACTGAAGGCTAAAACCGAAAACTGGCTGTAAGCAAACACAATGGAACACATTTTATGATTAAAACTAGTCTTAACTTTAAGAATAATTTAAAATTATTATATGCATATGAAATGAATTGGTACAGTGTCACATGCGTGAGAAATAAATCGATTTTCTTTATACTTGGCCATTTTTATCTTGCTTTCAAAACGTAATGAGATTCTTACATAAAAACCTTCCCAGCTGGGGAACTGAGCTTAGAAGTCTACGTTCCACTCTAAGACAGGATTTGCTTTTGTGAATGGTCTCCATTGATAAAACCAGCTCCCTCCACATCTCCACGAGGTGCACGCTCTTGGCACCGTGGCCACTCATGGAGCCTAGTCTCTTCTGGTTTTCAAAAGAGGGTCTCAAATTTCCCCACCTTTTAGAGTGAGCATGGAGCTCATTACAAAACTTAGAAAGAAGAAGGCCCTGAACTTCTGATCTTCCCTGTTTTCTCCCAGCGCTGGGAAAGGCAGCTGCTGCCACCACATCCAGTTCACATGCAGCTTGGTGCATGTGAGGAAGGCGGTCTACCAACCATACTAGAGGCTCAGAGGAAGACATGAAACTCCTTTTATCCATGATATTATGAGTCCATATAACCAATATCGCACAAATACCGATAGATTGAAAACGACACACATTTTAATCACCTGTTGACTTTTTACTATAAAGTTTAAATATTTGTTGTACCAAAAAAACTCCACACTGCTTTATGTTGCTAGCGAGAGAATATAAATTTGAGACTTCTTTTTGTTGTTGTTTGTTGTTGCTTTTTTTTTCTTTCTTGTTTTTCATTTTTCAGGACAGGGTTTCTCTGACTAGACCAGGTTGTCCTGGTACTTGCTCTGCAGCCCAGGCTGGCCCTGAACTCAGATCCACTTGCCTCTGTCTTCAGAATTAATGGTGTGTGTGTGTGTCACCACTGCCCAGCTTAATTTGATACTTTCTCAACTGTGCATCTAGGCACATACCTAGGGACATTCTAGACATGTCTGTAACAGTAGCATGGACCAGGCACTGCTTTCTTCTAACAATGGTGCTGCAACACACCAAATGTACTTCTGAACACATGCACCTTGTTTTGTTTTGTTTTAAATAACTAGAAATAGCAACTAAGAGAGTTTTGAAAAATAACTGCGGGGCCATAACATCATCCTAACCTTCTGCCCTCCTGCTTCCTCTATTTGTCCTGTCCACTTTGCAGGTGAGAACTGGGATAAGAGACAAATATTACCTCACAGTTCAATTTCTACATGGGGAAAGAAATAGGGATCCAGGGTCACAGCCTTCTACAATATGTGCACATTTCTTTCGGCAGGTATTAAGGAAAACCACGAGGAAAGCAACATTATACATATGAAAGCAAAAAAAAAAACACCCCAAAACAAACACGAAATAACCAGCCCAACAACAACCTAAAATAAACAACGCCCATATACACTGAAAAGAGTTAAACCAGTTCTGGACATGACAGAGACAACGACAGATGGTGTAAATATTTCAAAACCCTCCACAAATAAATCCACGTTATTTAAACAGGATGCAACCAAATGGGGAAAAGAAGCAAAGGAGCAAGTCACGACCCAGAATCGTCTGGAATAATCAGCTACAGATAGGAGCCACAGAGAGGAAGTCATTTCTTACTTGCACAAGTATCTCGAAGGGTTTGTCAGATCTTTCACCATGAAGCACTCGCCACCATTCACACAGAACGTCTTCTCCTTCTCGGCGCACTTTACAAGATGACTGGTCCCAGTGGTGGACGTAGACGTGGCTGGAGAGGAAAGAGAAAAGGAGGAGAAAGTTTGACACCTTGTTCTGTAAAGAGAGCTGCCACTGTGATGAAATGAAATTCCGGCTCCAGCAAGGCTCAAATGTGATGGTATCAGATCCCACCATTGACAGGAATTTTTTTTTTAATAGAAATGACTGATAAGATCGTTCATTTTGGCAATTATATTTTATGCATGGGTTCACTCTGCGCATTTTAGACAGCTGACAACAAGAAACAGAGGCAGTTGGATAGTTCTAGAAATGAACAACCTGCTATAAGGCTCATCTGTTAGGAACCCAGGCTAGAAACAAGCCATCCTTTGATTTATCAGATCTTCACGTGGTAACTTGACATTGACCTTTCCAACATGACATGACTGCTGGACCACTGAGTACATACTCCAAAGGAAAACAAGTACCTAGTCCTCCAGCTCAAGGGCATTTGACATCAGGGCCTCTCCTCCTTTCCACAGCTGTGAACACTATGGCAGGGCTTAGTGTCAGTCAGTGTTCACTACTGATATCAATCAGGACAAGAGTTTCAAGTCAGTCAAGATTCTGTCTACTTTTGTAGGGGGAAAAATATTGATTTTGAGATGAAATTTTTTTTATCTTATCCACTGACTTATTCCCATAGGTTTTTAAATCCCTTGTCTGTATCACACCTAGTTTATTCTTGCATGGGTCAGTGTTCCTCTGGGTATTTACTTTGCCCACCCGGTATGGTTTCCCCATTTTATTCTGCTTTGATTTTTTCATTTGTTTCCAAATCACATTTTGTTATGATTTTTAACCAAATTTCTTCTACTCTTTTGTTTTCATTCTTTCTGACCAGAATAGTCAACATCTTGATGATTTAGTTTCCGACTTCCCATACCTTTCTTGTTTCCTGTTCTCTTACCTACAGCACACTAGGGACCACGGGTCTTAGAAAAAAGAATGGAGAATCAAAGCGACTCGAACTTGGAAGAGTGATCTCATTCAGATCCCTTCTAGAGACCTTTACTCCTGACTCTCCTAAATTTCCCATTCATAAAACAGGGCTGATGTCAACCGTAGAAAATTTCCCCAGAGATTATATGTATTCTAGAGGAAGAGTTAGTAGATGAGTAGAGAAAATCGCAATTTTCTTATTTAGCAATCAGAATTGAAAAACAGCAACAATAACAAACTTGATAAAGGGGCTGCAAGCATAGTTCCATGGCGTAGCATTTGCTAGGATTTTGTAAGACCTTAGCTTCCACTTGTAACACTGAAAGAAGAAGTTTAACATTGAAAATCTGGGGCTTCGATGCTTTGTGCCGCTCCTCTTCTATCATTACTGTGGATAATTAGGAAATAGGCCAACTGATTCATTTGGGTGGTATGGAGAGTTAACCCAGGGACATCCACATGGCAGGTGGGTGTTCTAGCATTGAGCTACGTCATTTCTGGCCTAAGTCAATTCTTTACTTACTTCACTAAAGGGCCCTTTTCCAAATGTCACTAAAGGTGTCCTGTAGAAGCCTACAAACCAAATCGAAGCTTGGTGATTATCCACCTACTATCAGCTGTGCTAACAGCATCTTTATCACCATGAGGGGAATGCAATTTGCACCGTTTGGTTTATAACATGGCAGAGGACATTTCTCTATACCACATGGCATATCTTTTGAACCAAACAATATGTCTTGATGTGAAAAACTTCATGTGCGCATATTATTTTTTAATCCATGGCACCTGCTTTTACTTGGTGAGGAAGAACGAACGCTGCTTTGACTCAGCTGCTGACAGCATCTACTTAATAACAAATTGGGCTGTGTATCCTTCCTGCCCCATAGAGCAGAAAGTACCTGTGCCACCTGCAGTGAGCTGTCACAAGGGTGCTGATCCACGAGCAGTCCCCAGTGGTATCTGAAGCCCTAACATTTTCCTAAGGGTGTTTTTTGCCCCACTTGAGTAGCCCAGTTGGAAGGCTCTTTCAGAATAAATCCTATGGCATTTACTAACACCAAAACCAACATCCTTCATAGACAGACAGATTTCTACATAAATTATAAATGAACAACAAAAATAGGCTATGATAAAAGCCAAAGACAGCTATATCACCCTTATTACTTGGACTTGATGATCTTGTGGGATTACTAAAATAACTAAGATTAATAAATGCACATTAAAACAAGCAAAACAAAACAAAAAACCACAATACCTCTTGACTCTTAAAAATATTTTTCCCTGAAGTGACTGTCCCAAAGTATCTAGCCCTGACACAGTCCACTGGAAAAAAAGTCTTAGATCATTACTTAAAGATAGTAAGGAGACATTTGATAGGAGCCAATTGCTGGAAATAAGGTAGCAGCCATCTCTTAGTGGTGGCTATTGGGCTTAACAACTTTATCCACAGCATCACCGAAAGCATCATGAGTTGTAAGGCAGCCATTAAGTCCCAAGGGAGGCATAGTGTGATCTGACTGGCTACAGATGCTCTGAAGCTAAACTAAACTCTAGAATAAGCTGCAACTGTCAGAAGAACTTGAAGAAGAGACAGTGCTGTGTACACCCTGTGGATCCTTGCCGCCTGTTCTCTTCTTGGTTGACTATGGTATGCTAGCAATCCATCCATTTCAAAGTGATAGCCTTGCCTTTGGCTTATACACATATATTGCCTGGTCACATTCCATTTGTTAATGCTGCCGAACAACGAAGCAGACAGAACACGACTTACACACCAAGTCACAAGCACAGCCTTCATTTTGAGGGAGCTGGGAGGAAAAACTAGGGACTGCAGGAGAATGTATTTCAGTACATGAAGAATGTTCTGTTTCCACTCAGTTAGATTCCAACCAATGGTGATTACACCCATCTACCTCCACTTTGTGAGCAGTTTGTCATAATGCAGGTGTTCGCTCTTACTTAGTGTTAGGAATGACAATTAAGGACAAAACTGTCATGGCTAGCCCAAGCACACCTATAGCCACATCAGTAGGGCAGATGAAATAGCAAAAATAGAAATTGAAGACCAATTTGAGCTACAGAACAAACGAACATAGATAACTTTGTTCTCAACATAGGACGGTTCTTACGTTGACCGCGTCTATGAATGCGTCAGCCCAAATGCATTTTCCATGGTCAATCAGCAAATACCATGCAAGGAGAGGAAGCACAAGTGAGGTCATAACATATTGCCAGAGAATGTATCTGTCATGCCAATATACTGACCTTGCTAAGGAAGCAGCACATTTCTCTGCCTTTACAATAGAAAACCCAAACCAGTATTTAAGGGCTAGGAAAGTCCTTATGTATATGCTAAGATTCCTTGGATTCTTTCTCATCACTTCCTGGTTATTTTATGAATCTGTCCCTTCATACTTCACTAACTGCCTATGCTTATGGACAGGTAAATGTCCTAACTAACGTTGACCATGGCCAATGCCCCTTAAAAGGAAACTCTTGAGGTATGCAGTTGAGCATTGAACACTGCCACTATTAATGTGGAGAAGCATCAACTCAGGCCTCAACGGGGCCAATGACTAGCAGACATCTACCCCGAGGGCTGTTCCTTTAAACTCAGAAGCAAAGCAAGATAGAGGGAGCTGTTATGAAGCCTGCTACAAGATTATTTTTGCCTTGCAAAAAAATGACACTGCGCCTCGATAAGTGTCACCGATCTATCATTGGTGCATAAACCCTGGACAAAGGAAAGCAAAACATAATTGCCATCCACATTAGAATTCTGTCCTTTCTTAGGGAATGTGGTGGGGGAGGGGGCCTAGTCTGCAACAGAAGTCAGTGAATAACTGCCAGGTATTCAGTAAACACAGACAGCCTGCTCTATTGTAACTGTTAGCCCAGGATTCAGAACCCATTAATTTGCTTGCATAATAAAACTGATGAATGAGTTAAGAGGAAAAAATGAATCGCTTCTCAAAATTATTATTTTCTACATTCAGTATTTACACAATTCTGGCTAGTTTCTGCCTGAAGTTCCACATTACAAAAACTAAATACACTTTAGTAGGACCATTTAAACAATTTAAACTATTTTTCTTTCCTTTAAGACAAGATCTCATTACATTGCTCAGGTTAATCCAGACATCTGCATCCTTCTACCTCAGTCCTGTGAGTGGCTGGATTATAGGTGAGTGTCATAGCCTGAGCCCACATGATGTGAAATACAAAACATATTTCATCTGGAACATACATTTTGAGCATTACACTATTGCCCACTTTTGTAAACATGCCGATCCACATCTGAACACCCATTTTCTACTCCTTACTAAGGGTTTCTTCTTGGAAGCACACACGTTTCTCTGCAGAGCAGCTCAAGCTAAACAAAAGTAATGCTGGGCAAATTGGTTCTCTCTCTCCCTGATTTTAAAAACCATTCTCCTTGTTAGTAAAGCAGAGAGCTAGGACTGTGGTACAAACACACCTCTAATAAAAATATCAGGCCAGCTTCCTTGAACAATGAGCAGTAATCATACCTGAGAGTAGTCATGAGACTCTGTCCTTCCTGAATGACAGTATGTTCAGACACTTTTTACTGATTTACTTGTGAAAATTAAGTCACCATGAGCATTTCTCAATGAAATATATGAAGTTTTTTTAAACATTCCTATATGAAGCAGGCAAACTATGAAATGAAAGTTTTGAACCTTACCTGTATCTTCAACGCTTATGTACTTAGAAATCTGCATGCTTTCTTTATCTTCCATATCCTGTATTTCCTGTTGCTGTTATTTGTTTGTTTTTAAGCCCAAATCCATTTAAATTATTATCCTTGCCTAGAATGCTATTAGTGCTCCTCTTGGAAGCATGCTGTTCTACTGCTAGAAACTGCTTAGAAGGCTCTTGAGGATGAAGCCCTTCAGAGCAGAAGCCAAGCATGAAGAGCTCCGCTGCCCCGACCACATGGCTTCTCTGTCCAGTAAGGGCATAGTGAGAAGAAGCATTAGCTCTCCACAGGAAGAGCCCAAGCCACACTGGAACCACAGAAGCACTGTCATTCTGGGTTGGCATTTT